CTATCTTATCGGCCCAAAAAGCATTAGCCTCCTCACGATTTAACCGGCTGAATTTCTACAGAGGTACCTCACGATATCCCTCCACATATCTCTGTGGCCCACGATCTCCAAAGAATCGGCATATTTGCCGTTACTTGTGGTCCATTAACTCTTTGAAAGGATTCATCTACCGAAATGCCGATGCTTGATTCTCGAAACCAGACTTGCATATGACCTTGTTGAATCCTCGCAACTCCTTGATTTTTGTTGAATCGTATGTTGAACAGTAATCGCCCCGACCAACCATTATTAGAACTCATCGGTACAAAACTTACCGATGGTCGGTAATTTGGACACATTGTTGGATAATTATAACCAGCTTTTGAGGCATGAACTCAACCCAGCTTGACTCATAGCGGGGGTTTTCTGCGCATCGGCGATAAGCTTGCCGATGGACTTGAATTGGGTGTTTGAACCAAAGGCATCTGGAAACCTCCTGGAGTTGGTTGCACGGTAGTTGCTTTGGGCATATTGAGGCACTTGAGCCATCGGCGAAACAAATTGATGGTATAGGAGCTTTTCCTCTTGATCAAACACTTGAGGTAACCCAGAGTTGAAAGCAGATGACTCGGAGGCATACCATATCCCCACCAATTAGCGAGAATCGCTATTCTCGAGACACGTGGCCTAACATAGCTGATGCCGATAGATCTATATTAAGCTGAACTCGTCCTCCGGTAGTACCGGATCTGATCGTATCGGTGTAGATTGAATATTAGGTAAGCTCGCCGATCTTCGGAGGAGAAGTAACTTCAGACCACAACGGCCGAGGGAGCCGATGGAGTATTGACAGATGCTGCTCTCTGGTTGGTGATAGGCGGGCCCAACGTAATGCGGTGACGCTTTGTCCTTCTTTGAGAGTTCGAACCACGAAGATTATGAACAAAGATGTTGGACAACACATTGGAATGATTAATCAAAGCATGATTTATCGCAGAATTAACCATCTCTTGAAGTTTACCAGATTGGAGTCAAAGGTAACTCGCCGAGGCAACGGCAAATCTTGCTTCGGATGACTTGTCCACTCTTGTTTAGGCTAAACGATCTCGCACAAAGTCACTGTATTCTTCTATAGCCTTTTCCATGGCCTCGCCTCTTGCTCTTCCTTAAGATCTTCTTCGATACCGCGATAATGTTCCCTCGAATCGATCTCGGGATTGATCATATTGATCGGATTGATTGGTCCCACCGGCGCAACCAAAAGATGTGTTGATGCAAAAGTGGATCTGCAAACACAAAGGGCTAATACCGAATAGATATCCAAAGCGTGCGATTGATTTGACTCGTTAATCGACAAGGATGAAGATACTGAGCACTTTGGTCCCGACAACAAATATACGCCCGAAAGTCACGGCCAAGAGGTACTCACGTGGAACTCGAGAATCGTTGAAGGTCGCCTTTGAAGCGATGCAACTCGCCAATCAATGAGAACTCGTAAAAAGGAAAAAATATGCAAATTGACGAAGTCACCGAAAAGTAAGTAGATGCAAATAGGAGTAAAAATTGGTTTTGATATTGATTCATCTATATTACATTGCCCCTCAATCTATATTTATACCCTGATCTAAAGAGACATAACCAAATACGACTAGGACACCAAGTCCATATCTAAGGAAACACGTGACTCTTACATGAATCATACTCTAACAAATATAGAAAAGGAAATCAGCTCCTATCTACTTCCCTGTCCACCTCAATTACGATGGAATTCTCACCGACCTCCTTTCCATCGGCATACTTCTTGTTTCATCGGCAGTAGTTTTCAAGCCTTCCTTCATCGGCATCGACACTAACATCTCCAACCTTATCGGCAACGCCCGAGTCAACCTTTCCATCGATCACCACCATTCATCGGCAACCATCTTTACAAGCTAATTTTCATCGGCTGTCAGCGTATACAGTAACTTTCCTCCTGCCGATTAGCCCACTCTGATCATTTTGACACGTGCAAAAAACGGTGTCAACAGGTCTTTGTGTCACAGTCATGGCCATAGCTGGAGTATATTTTTCCAGAGAACATGACGTGCGACAAATGATCCATGCTGTTTGTGTCACAGTCATGGCCATAGCTGGAGTATGTTTTTCCAGAGAACATGACGCGCGACAAATAATCCATGCATAGGTGGAGTATGTTTTTCCAGAGAACATGACGCGCGACAAATAATCCATACTGTTTGTGTCACACTCATGGCCATAGCTGGAGTATGTTTTTCCAGAGAACATGACGCGCGACAAATAATCCATGCTGTTTGTGTCACTGTCATGGCCATAGCTAGAGCATTACGCCACAAATATATCCATGCTGTCAGGATGATTGTGGACTGTGGTTTGGTTCATCTAATCTAATGGCGATGGCTATGCTGAATGCTGATATGCTATGGCTTTTCCTGCGGCATGACCAAGATATCCAACTCGTTGTTGGGCTACTATTCTACTGTAGTAGATCTTGAAGAAGTGGCAGTTTTCGGGTACGTTAATGTGAGACCCAGTTCATGGGCTGAATTGCTGGTGGGCCGGGGGCACTGTAGCTATAGCGACGAACTGGGCTGGGCTGTTTTCGGGGGTACTGTCAGTGACGAGACTGTAGCTGCAGAAACACTGTTTACATGAGGTTTAGTACCTGCAGGATGGCCGTACCGACTTAAATAGCCAGGCCAAGGACGCGTAGTAACCTTCGGTTAACCGTTTTGCGCGAAGCGAGGATGAAAGCGCAAACTAGTTGCTACGTAGGTGGGGCTCACCCCTTGGTAGAGTGGGCCTATGCCGTGTGCCGGACTTAGTGTGTTATAGTTAATGCCTTGCTTTGTTGGCTACTCGCCGTCAGGCATAGTCGTTGTGTACTTTCTAACTTCTCTTAATGAAATATACGCCCAAGCACGTTCTCTAAAAAAAGAAGAACTGGCAGGATGGGGATTTATAATTGGTATCCCTCATGTGACTGTACTGCTGGTGCCTTTATCTAATCTAAGAAAAGGGAAGACAGGAAAAAAGATTCTTGAGCTCTTCAATCATATGCTCAAATTCGAGGTTCAATGCCCCCTTCAGTTTTTGCTCCAAGAACTTGAAGAATAAATGGAGAATAAGTTAAAGGAACAACGCAAAGCTTCTCTCTGATTAACATTTGCGACAAAGCTGAAGCATCAGGAGGAGTCCCGAAACCAAATGAGAGCCCAACCCTAGCCCCTGGCGCGCTCTCCCGCGCCGCCGCCGCCACAGCCGTCGGCCGCCTCCCGGGCACCGGCTCCCCCTCCCCCGCCACCCCTCTCCCCCTCTCCCGCAACCTCTCCCACCTTCCCCCAGTGAACTCCTTCCAACCAGCCAGGCGCAGGCTCGGCTGGGACCCAGCCCCTGGCCTCCTCCCCACCACCTCCACCGACGGCGCCAGTCGACGCCGACGTCGGCACCACCTCCACCTCGCCCGCCCTCTCCCCCGCCCCAGATCCACCTCGTCCTCCCACTCCCCGAACGCCCGCGGGCACAGGTGTGCCGCCGCCGTCGCCCACGTCGATCTCCCGGGCACCAGCTGCGGCGACCACCTTTCCACCGGCGGCTGCCTCCCCTGCGTCAGATCTCGATGATGATGACGCCGGCGAGGGCCGAGCGGGATCTAGAGTCAGTTCTAGGGGGAGGGCGGCGCTCTGCTCCCCTCAGCCCTCTCCTAGCCCACCGGCCGCTACCCCAGCACCGGCGGCCACCCAGCCACCCTCGGGGTCCTCCATTGGTAAGGGGCCAACCTCCTTCTCCCCCAATGCCACCCCTTTCTTCCCAACCGGGACCCCAGAGCGCTCCAAGGCCACGAGGTGGGCCAAGGAGTCCGACATCTCCGTCTACGACACTCGACACCAACACCAATGATGACGCCGAGTCTACGCAGCCATCTCGGGGGTCCTACCTCGACGCCGTCCCCCGAGGCTCTCCGGCACAGGTAGGCCTGGAGGCAGGGACTAGTTCCCAACCGCACACCTGTGTCATCGAGGAGCAGCTGCCGGAGGCTACGGAGGTGGGGTAACCTCAGCACCCATCAAAGCGCAAGAGGGGGAAGCGCCGATGGAGGCCTAGGCAGCCTATGCGCCACAACGAGCAGGCTCTAGAGCATAGGTGCGCTCTGGCATCGTAGAGCTTGGGACGCTGTGTGGGCAACAATGAGCGTGCCCCTCCTCGTGAGCCCACCACTGACTCTGACATCGACATCACTACCACCCCGCGCTCCTACGCAGACGTCGTCCGCTAGAGCTCCCTAGTACGGGTGGTCCGCCCCCTACCGGCCACCCACGCCGGTGAAGGCTTCTGGCGTGATCCAAGGTGCACCACGCGCTGGCCAGCAACGGCATAGGCGCCGGCTCAGGAGGAAACCACAACGCGCACCACCACTGGATGGGCATGCTCGTGCCACCGTTGCGCTTGGACTAGGCGACCGCGACACAGTGGACCATGGCTCCACCACACGCATCCTAGCCCACCAGTGACTAGGTGAACGCAGCCACACTGCCATGTGCATCTCGGTCCACCGACGCTTGGTCACACGTGTGCCGCCACGAAGACGGCGACACTACTCACCACCGGGCTCTGTGGGATGGAGGGAGATGTTGCCCCAACAAGCAGACCCGCCAGTGGCCACTCACATCACCAGGAGCATGCGGCCACGTCATCGTGGCATCCCAGAGCCATTGCACGACCGCTGCCTGAACTGCTTGTCCTTTACCCACCGCATCGCCACCTGCCACCTGCCGCGGCGATGTTTTCATTGCCGAGGCTTCGGGCACCTGGCCAGGGACTACAGGTGCTCTCGCTCATCGAGGAATGGAGGGATTGGCGCTGCGGACTCTGGCCAGCGTCGCTCCATCAGGGTGAACCGGGCTCCAGGCAGCCCTGCCACGCAGCTAAGCTCACAAGCGAGCAGCACAACCCCTCCAGTATCTTCGCGTTCGGCCACCGTGCAGACGTCGGTGGCAGCGATCACCATGGCAGACAAATCGATAGCACCTCCTGCGGTCCCTGACCTATGGAACCCTTACAACTTCGCATCCACCTCCGTAACGCTTCCTAGTTGTGGCCAGGACGCTGGACGACACCCTGCCTTAGTTCCCATGGTTCTAGAGGCAGCGCTGCTCTGTGATCCCATGATCGTGGAGGTGGAGGTCGATCCGATGGAGGTGACCTCCAACCAGGTCGATCATGCAGGCATAACTATCGACCAAGGTGGGATGGAGGTCCCACCTTCCACCCCAACGAAGGCACACTCCATGGCTATGCTTTTGGCCCATTGCATAGTGGTCGGACCACAAGCTGAGGCAGCTAACGGCACAACAATGGGCGGTGTCTAGGCAACAACTAAGCCCAGCATTGAGGACATGCCCACACCAAGAGAGGCCACCAAGCGACTAGCTAGGTTCACCATGGAGGTCCAGGTAACGAGGCTGCCACCTCTCATCAATACCCCACCCAAGCAGAAGCCAGCGCCAAAGTGGACCTTGCCCCTTAGGAGCAGGTGGATTGCTGCTCAGCAGACGCGGTGAAGTTCTGCTCATGAAGAAGATGTGTGTCGGTGTTTTGAGTTACCGACTAGTAAATTTCTAGTATTGTGCGTCTAGCTTGGATGGTGTGCTTAGAGGACATGAGGTTTATACTGGTTCAGGCGAAAAGTCCCTATGTCCAGTTTGTCGCTGCTGCTCGTGTTACTAGCACTGATAGTTTGTGGTAGGGGTTATAAACGGGCGAGAGAGGGACAGGATCCCAAGTCTCTAGTGTGTGTGTGTGCGTTGCTTGGACGTGTCGAGTGTGTACAGTCGTGTTTTAGCGTGCCCCTCATGGGGCACCCTGGTTCCCCTTTTATAGATAAAGGGGAAGAGCACGTTACAGAGAGAGGGAGAGGAAAGTAAAAAAGAAGGCCTCTAGGACCGCCAGGTCTTTCTTCTCCTTTATGCGGGTCCTATCGGCACTGTAGATGGTGGTAGGGATGGCTCCTCGCCAGGCTCCTGTTCACCACTGATGCCATGCCCCAGCGTCATCAGTAGGCTGTAGCGTCCCATCCTGTCCTAGTAGACGACGTGGCGAGCTGACACGCAGGTCAGTGGCCGTACGGGGAGTGGTAGCATTGTGACTGTGCGTCCATCACTATTGGCGATGTGAACTCTCGAGGGTGACATGTCGTGGCCATGGGTCTTGTCGAGGCATGCCTGCCCCCTGCCAGGTGCCAGAAAGTTTGACCTTGGGGTCATACTTTATGACCGGAGTGGTTGGGAGCGATACAGGCTTATGTCGGGCGAAGTGGAATCCCTGACCCAGAGGTCGGGCGAGGCAAAAGCTGCCCCCAGCGGTCGGGTGAGGTGGAAGCCGCCCCTAGTGATCATGCAAGGCGGTGCCCGCGTCCCTAGGGTCGGCCGAGGTTGGACCCGCTCCTCAGTGGTCGGGCAAGGCAAAGCCCACGCCTAGGGGTCGGGTGATGCAGGACTCGCCCCTCAGCGGTTGGACGAGGCGGAGTCACATGCCCCAGGGGTCGGTTGAAGCCACAGTCGCACATTTGATCGCTCAGGTGAATTAGTGTTGATGACCATTAGCCCCTCATTTTTGGGTACCCTAGTATTGGTCCCCGATAGTAGCCCCCAAGCCCCCGGGCGATTCGGGTGGAATCATCCGGGGGATATTTCAACTTGCCAGCGGGTGCTCGCGAGCGCACCTAGTGGGTGTAGCCCCTGAGCCTACAGAGGAGTAGTGTACTCCTTTGGAGGCTCTTCTGGGTGGGAGGACTCTGAGGGCACTGACCTTCTTTTGTAGTCCGCAGTGTGTACTGGTAGGGCGGTGATTATTGTTTTATCGCAATCGGTCTCCTTGGCCATACGACCACAAAATTCAGAGGTCGGAGGGGATCCCTCCTGATCCTGACCTCTACTGGGATCTGATTGTTCTACGACTGTGCATTTGGTCTCCTTGCGAGTCCAACTTTCCTTGTGCCTCCGCGCGTAGCAGGGGTCCTGTCGAGGGTCAGCTCGTCTTTGTGATCGTCTTCCCTCAAGCGTTTTTTCCGACAAAAATGGAGGGGCTGAGTCGTGCCATGATTTTCCTCTATGGACGAACCATGGTGCTCAGTGGGCTGCTAACGGGTCAGTTCGAGTAGGTCCCCGCATCCCAATTCATGGGGTTTCGGTTTGGGTCAGCTGGTGATCGACTTCAGATTCTCGGCGGTCAATCCATATAGTTCTCGGGTTCGTCCGACCGGTCCCGAGGGCTCTTTGCCTTTCTTTGGGGGGAAAATCTTGGATTGTGTCCGGTCGAGACTCGAACGTGGGTCGGGATGCCCATTGCGCCCATGCACTTGGGTACTGGCCGCTAGCGAGCTCATCCGCCTCCACCCCTCACTCTAAGGCGCCCTGGAGCGGTTGTGAAACCCAACAGTGGGCCAACCTTCGAACTCCTAGGCTTAGATGAGTCATAGGAGCATTTTTAGCTCTGTATCCCTCTTACCTGTGATGGGTCGTGGCCCATTCAGGGAGGCAAAATGTCTGGCACGCTTTCTATGGGATGGCCAGAGATCACGTGCTCACGCCTCATGATGGGAAGTGGTGGCAGGACGTAGTGGCCATAGAGATCTAGGTGGACGGTTGGTTTCCTCACATCTGTCGCCCCTATAAAACCAAAGGGTTAGCCCTCCCCATTTCATACGCATGCCTACATCCTCACCTCCATAGCCATGCCACCGCCGCCAGTGCTAGGGTTCCTTGCCCCCGCATCCTCGTTGTTGTTGAGCTCGCATTCACCCACCCTCTCTTTCAATGGATCCATGGTGCCACTCTGACATCACCTTCCAACGCATGGAGGGCCTCGTCCGTTGTGGTCTTCTTTGCGCATGTACCGCGACTGAGGAGTGGTTGCTGCCCAGCAATGAGGATTCACCGTCACCGCCCGATGACTACGTGGTGTTATTTGTGCACTTCCATGAGTGCGGACTCATGACCCCCGCCCACAAATTCCTCCATGGGCTACTGCACTTCTACCATATTGAGCTGTAGCATCTCAATCCCAATGGGATCCAACACATGGCGATGTTCGTCGCGCTATGCGAAGGATTCCTAGGGATTAGTGCTCACTTCAACCTGTGGAGGTATTTCTTCACTGTCAACCTCCAGAAGAAGAGGTGGCAAGCTAGATCTGCACATGCCGATGGGGTGAGCTAGCATTCAGCTTTGGAATAACCAGGTCGGCGAGTACCCTTGACATCCAACAATGGGTGGCACTCGCAGTAGTTCTACCTCAAGAACGACGCTGCCGCCCCTCTACCGGAGTTCACCGGGCACCTGATCGAGGAGGCCCCAGAGCCGTGGAGGAAGTGGGGCATCCCGGAGAAGGACAAGAAGAAGATCCAAGACCACATTGCCGCCATCCACATCCTAAAGGAGAACGGCCTGAAGGGGTCGGGTGTCATCGGGCTTATCACACTAGGAGGGTGGTGCCGTTGATGATGCGTGCGCTCTCGCTATACGCGATGGCGCCTGAGGCATCGCTCGATGGAACGGCGCTCGTCGAGGGAATGATCCCCAACTCTGAGATCGCATAACGCATCAAGGAGGCGATGGAGCCTCTGTGGGACAACATGGGTGCCACCCTTGACTTCATTTACCCGGTGCCATGGCATCCTCGGATGCGGCTGGAACTAGGTTACATCATCTTCATAAGTCTCCCTTTCTCCTTCCTTTCTTTCAACTGATTTCTTGACCCCGCAAGACTGACCTTGAGAGAGGCGGGACCAGACAAGGGACCTCATCCTCATGGATCACCTGGCACCGCTGCCGAGGGATTCGGCCGTGAGGGCGGTGAATCACGCCGAGGCCAAATGGCTAAAGAAGGCGAAGGAAGACAAGAAGAGGAAGAGGTAGCGAAAGCTACGGGCATGGGAACGAGGGGAGGATACTAACGATAACGACGACGATGATGATGGTGACGATGATGAGATGATGGAAGTAGCCAATGATGTCGAGTGGGACATCCTGGAGAATGAGGATGCACTGACATGTATCAGTTCATCCTTGTAGGTGTTGGGGCCCTTCCCGTTCCACGGAGGGGAGGGCACTTCTGGGGAGCCAGTGGAGGCAGGCTATTCTAACCCTCTAGGAACCGATGGAGGTGGGATGCACCGCCGACCCACCCCAAGAGCCAACAGAGGTGGGCAGCTTCGCCGTCACACCATAGGAGCCGGTGGAAGTGGGCGGCTCCGCCGTCGTGGCCTAAGAGCCAAGGGGAGCAGGGTGTTCCACCAATGTGCCCTAGGAGCTGTCAGGGGTGAGCCCCTCTGCCCAGGAGTAGGGGGCGGGCGCGAAATGGCCTTGCTCCGACGAGGCAAAGCAGGGGTCGGGGGAGTCATCCCCCAAACGCATCTACCACCCGACGGCGCTGAGGTGAGTTATCAACTCCTCTATTTTTTTCATGTTTTAGTAAGATTTTATTGTGACTTATGTTTTCTATCCCTTGTATAGTCGGCAGGTAGCGGAATCCTTTGGCACCGAATAAGAGCCTTGCCCTCTAATCGGGGCGGCGGTCGTCGGTTGGTGTCGCACCCAGATCGGGCAGGAGCAGCGCCGGTGTGGCCACATCGCCGTCCGATCAGGCACCGCCTGTGGCATCGTCGGTGCCCATGGCGAGACAGGCGGACGTGGGTGCACAAGGGGTGCATTCGGCGGCGGTCATAGAGCAGCCCACGATGGCTGCGATACCGCTATTGATGATGGGGCGAACGGGGTTGCCGACTGCACTCGTGGTACCAACCGTGGTGGGGGTGACGCAGCCGATCATGACCTCATCGATGCAGGAGGAGGTGGCGGTGCCCGTGATGGATGGGTCACATCTAGGCGTGACCGCAGTGTTGCCCGAGTTATCGACCTAACCCGCCATCGGCAGCCCAAGCAATGGCGCCTAACACGGGTCGGACAGAGGGGGACCCAGCCGATGGGTCGCTAGAAGTTGTGGTGCTAGGAGAGAGGCTCATGCCTGCACCGCTGATGCCTTCCGTCACCAGAGGGCTGTCCTGGCGAGGATGTCATGGCGAGAAGGATCGGCGGCGCTCGGGGCCGGCAGAGAGTCATCTCTGACCCTGACCTTAGCGGCTCGCCTGCACGGGGCGTGCCCCTGCTCCGATGGATGGATCCATAGGATCTGGCTTTGATGCCCTTTACTCTTGACGATGCCGTAGAGAGCATGGAGCAGGAGAGCCTCAACCTGGGGATCACGACCGTGCTCGAGGCCCTAGACAATGCCACGGGAGCACTGCGTGACGTCATCGTTCCCTCTGGCTGGGTATTGCTCGGTCTTGCTTCTTACCCTCTTCTTCCTTTAT